AGCACTGTTTTAGAATTATTCTGGCCATGATTTCAAAAGTAGACATGAATCTGAGTAATTCAATTCAGGGAATATAGTAGCATCCTGTCTGGCAGTGGGAGGGTAAGCCATGAATAGGTGAGTGAGCACTTGCCTCAGGGACCTGAGGACTTGTGCAGGCCCTACTAGACTTGAACTTCTAGAACAGAAAGACAGGCATTGGATTCTCCTGGAGCTGGAGTTACATGTGGTTGTGAGCCTCTCTTGCATGGGTACTAGGAACACATTCAGTAGTGTGTGCTTTGAACTGCTGAGCTGTCTCTTCAGCCCCTATGGTAGGTTTTATTTGTTGTTTTGTGGTACTGAGGATTGAACCTGGAACCCTTAGGCATGCTAGAAATACACAACTGAATCACACTCTAACCTCAGTTTTTACCTTCCATTTTTATTTTTATTGAGAAAGGAGCTCTTGTAGCCCAAGCTAGCCCTGAACTTCCTCTGTCCCTGAGGATGGCTTTGAACTTTTGATCTTCCTATCTCTACCTCCCAAGTGTTGGGGTTGCAGCCAAGTGCCACCACACCCAGTTTGTGTCATACTGAGGATGGAACCCAAGCTTCCTGCGTGCTAGGAGCGTACTGTCCCAATTGAGCTGTAACCCCAGTTCTAGGTCTTACTTTTTTTTTTTTTTTTTTGGTCTTTTTGAGACAGGGTTTCGCTGTAGCTCCAGCTGGCCTGGAACTCACTTATGTAGACCAGGCTGGCCTTGAACTCAAAGAGATCCGCCTACCTCTGGCCTCCCAAGTACTGAGACTACAGGTGTGCACCACCATGCTTGGCTCAGGTCTTTAAAAAAAAATTAATGTTTCATGACACATAAAAATTATATGAACTTCAGACTTTAGTGTCCATAAATGTTTTTGGATCATGGCTTTGCTGGTTCAGTTACTTGTCTGTGGCTGTTTTAACATGCAGTGTCAGGATTGAGTAGTTGTGGCAGACAAAATAAACCCTAAAATATGTTCTGTTTGATCCTTTACAGAAAGCTGTCCATTCCTGACCTATACGCATCCTTTGCTCAGTCTTCTTTTCTCATGCATAATGGCTGTCTCTCCCCAATCCCCCAACTCCCCAATCTCTCCTACCCCCACTTTTATCATCTCAGCACCAAGATCAAACCCTGCAAGCCTCTACCACTAAGCTGCACTCCCAGTCCAATGGGACTTTTTTTTGGGGGGGGGCTCTTTTTGAGACAGGGTCTCTCTGTAGCCCCAGCTGTCCTAGAACTCACCATGTAGACCAGGCTGACCTTGAACTCACAGAGATCCACCTGCCTCTGCCTCCCAAGTGCTGGGATTAAAGGTGTGTGCCACCATACCCAGCCTCCAAATAGGACTTTTAAAAACGGTCTTTCTCTTGTGTATGTTCTTCTGAAAGTCCTCAAATTCTCTTTCCTCCAGGAATTTTGTTGTTATTGGGGGCAAGACACACATAGATGTTGAGACTGAGTCTTGGGATACAATGGTGGCTGGCCTCAAACTTATGGTATTCCTTCTGCTTCAGCCTCCTGGGTGCTGGGACTCCGGGTGTGTGCTCTGCTAGGACTTTTCTTCCTCTAGAACTAGGCTGTTGAGAATAAGCCCTGAGGTCAACCCAGAGGTGCTTGCTGTGGCTCCATTCTCCCTCTACTTCCTCTTTTCATTTGTTCACCTCCATGTGGGCCCCTGCCCCAGCACCCGTGCAGGCTGTCATGCCAGGTCATTAGAGTCCTTGGGGGCTGATCCAGTTGTGTCCCTAGTCCTTGTCTTGATTGCTCTGACATTTGACATTTTGATCACCCCTTTTTTCTTTTGACTTCTGTGACATTTTTTGCCTCTCTGAAGACAAAGGCTTCTCTTTCACCTCACCGGTAGCTCAAATGATGGACTCTCCTGGTCTAGCCTTCATCCTTTCATGAGCATTATTTTACTGGGAACTTTGTATATCATTCGCTGTAGTAAAATGCCTTACACAAGTTATTTCTAATATTGGTAGTACAACAGCCTTTAAAAAGATAGATTTAGGCCTTGGGAAGTAGCTCAAGCCATCAAACGCTTACCTAGCATATACTAAGCCCTCAGTGGGTTCAGTCCCCACCACTGCTTTAAAAACTAGGTGTGGTGGTACATGCTCAGAAGGTGGAGGCAGGAGGATCTGAAGTTCAAGGTCATCATTCTTCAGCTGAGTTTGCACTCAGGAAGCAGAGACAGGCAGATCCCTGAGTTCGAGGCTAGCCTGGTCTATATGGTGAGTTCCAGGGCAGCTGGGGCTACAGGGAGACCCTATCTCAAAAAAAAAAAAGAAGAAAAAATGTTTTGTGTCTTCCACATTACAAAAAAGGACACTTAAAAAAAAATGTAGGTAAAGTTAGCTTTTCCCTACGTCCCAAACACCTCTTGCTTTTTAGCTTCTAGACAAGTCAAGACATTTCTACCTAGATCCACCCAGCCCTGTATTGGGAATCATCTGTCCTTCGTCTACAACATACTCTTGGCTGATTTCAGCCTTGCCTTACCACCCCTCCCACTCCTTACCAAACAGGTGTCATTACAGCCAGTCACCTCATGTCTCTTTATTTCTCTGGGATTCCTCTCCCACAATGTCACTATCATTTCTGTCTTTCAGAAAGCCTTTTCTCACCTCCATACTGAACTGTTGCCTCTTCTCGCCCTTCCAGTCCACCCACCACAAGGTCCTACCCAAGTGATTTCTCCTAAACCCCAGTTCTGACTGACTGCTCTTGGTTAAAGTCTGCCATGACTCCTGTTGTCCTTTCTAGCTTAACTTCGGAGGACTCAGTCACTTTTAATTTATTTACTCTTTTTTTTTGGGGGGGGTCTTTTTGAGACAGGGTCTCCCTGTAGCTCCAGCTGTCCTGGAATGCACTATATAGACCAGGCTGGCCTTGAACTCACAGAGATCCAACTGCCTCTGCCTCCTGAGTGCTGGGATTAAAGAAAGGCATGTGCCACCACATCTGGCTTCTTTATTATTTTTATTTTGTGCATATGAGTGTTTTGCTTTCATGTATGTAAGTGTACCCATGTCGTGCAGTGCCCGTGGACATCAGAGGAAGGTGTCAGATCCCCTGGAACTGGAGTTACAGATGGTTGTTAGCCGCCATGTGGGTCCTGGGACTTGAACCTGGGTCCTCTGTAAGAGCAGTTGGTGCTCTTAACTGCTGAACCATCTCTCCAGCCTTCTCACCTTGTTTTTCTTCCTCATCTCTTTCTAGGCTTTCATACTTCAAGTGTTTGTAGCTTGTTAAACCTGCACTTTCCATGCAGTTCCCATGCTGTTTTCTTTGGCTGGAATGCCCATATTACTATGTGCTTTAAAATTTTTTTTGAATTTTTGTGTGTTTCCTACAGAAAATCATCTTTGTATCCCCTTCCCCTTTGGCACCTCCCATAGCCCCCACTGGAGTTCATACCTTTTGTCATTTGTGTTAAGGCCTATCATATAAAGTTAGTGTCCCCAGATGTTCCTCAGTGCAAGCTCATCCACTGGGATCTAGTCAGTCTATCTCGGGTCCCTCCCTTTAAGAAGATCTGCTCTTCCTCACCCAGCCGTAATCAGCTGCCAACAATTCAACTAAGATTGGGGCCTGCCATTCATTTCCATAGTTCTGTGCTGGAGTTTTGTCTGCTTAAGTTTGCATGGGTATTATGCATGCTGACACCATTGCTATAGGTTCATAATGAGCAAGGTCACAGGAGCCTGTATGACTATTTTTGTATGGTCATGCATCTCCTTCCTGGCTCCCTGGCTCTTACAGTCTTTTACTCCCTCTTCTGCAATGATCCCTGAGCCCTGGGTGGGTGAATTTTAATATAGGCGTCCTGTCCAAGGACCCTCTGCCTGCTCTTATTCTCTGTGTTTTGGCTATTTGTGACCTTTTGTGGTCCTGACCCTCTGTTGCATAAGGAAGCTTCATTGATGAGAATTGAAAGATGCATTAGTGTTTGAAAAAGAAGCTTCTTTGATGGGTGGTGACTGGGATACTTACCTATAGATTTAAGGATCCATATTAATGTTTTTACAGCTTGTAAAAAAAAATAGACAAGTTAAAAAAAGAAAAAATAAAGACCATCCTTAGTTCAGAAAGCCCTACCTTTCCTTCTAGGTGTCACTAATTTCCAGCCTTCCTAAGAAGGGTTAGAAGTTTCTTTTTCTGTTCTCATGGCACCTTCTATATGCACCTGTTTGAGGCCTCAGTACAGTGTATAAATCTGTACATTTGCCTGCCTATTTTTAGCTTATACTCCTTAAAGGCAGAGGTTTTCATCTTACTTTTAAAAAACATTTTTTTTATTACATGTGTTTGTGGGAGGGGGCAGGGGGGCATGAGTGCCACAGTGCATTGTGTGGTCAGCCTGGGAGTTGGTTCTCCTTCCATCATGTATGTCCCAGGGATTGAACTCAGGTCATCAGGCTTGGCAACAGGTGCCTTTACACCCCTGAACCATGTCTTTTTTTTTTTTTTTTTTTTTTTTTTTTTTTTGGTGTTTTTGAGACAGGGTCTTCTTGTAACCTAGCTGGCCTGGAACTCACAGAGATCTGTCTGCCTCTGCCCCCAAGTGCTGGGATTAAAGGTGTGTGCCACCATGCCTGGCATGACTTTGGTTAGTTCTAATCCAGTTAGAATGCCAGAAGGGAAAGCATCTCAGCCTTAAGCAAAGTTAAGATTTATTTGAATGCAGGTAATTGTATATGTTTAGTATGTAGACAGTATTACATTTTCACCTTTAAAAGATAGATACATGCCATAATCTAAAAACACCCTGTGTTCATTTAAAACGTTCCTTATGCAATGTCCATGTGTGCTTTGGTCAACTAAGTTTCCCCACTTTGCTATTAGAGTTTGTTTCTGTGTTTATGATGAAAACACATTTGTATTGGCTACATCCCTGGGAGCTGATTTCTGGGAGAGGTAGGCTCTGGGCAGCTCTTTTATACTGATGAGCTGTCCTCTGTTTGCCAGGTAAAGCGGTACCAGTGCACCTTTGAGGGCTGCCCCCGCACATACAGCACAGCTGGCAACCTACGCACGCACCAGAAGACTCACCGAGGAGAGTACACCTTCGTCTGTAATCAGGAGGGCTGTGGCAAGGCCTTCCTTACCTCCTACAGCCTCAGGATCCATGTGCGAGTGCACACGAAGGAGAAGCCATTTGAGTGTGATGTGCAGGGCTGTGAGAAGGCGTTCAACACACTGTACAGGTCAGCCTCTATCTACACTCCACCAGCCTCTTGACCTGAGCTTGTGATTGCAGAGCTCTTTCACCTTGCATAGGAGATGTGTTTGCTTTGGGGACTTTGGAGAGTATAGCTGTGCTCACCTGATTAAAATTCCTCAGCAGGAACTTATTTAAAAATGAATGTATGATGGATTGGGTGGAAATTATGGCACATCTATACTTAGATTTTACCTCATGGAGTGACATTCTGTTCTTGGGGTTTTGGTTGTTGGCATAGAGTGGTCCGTCCCCTTCGCATAAGAGCTTCATCCAGCAGTTTCTGTATTATTCTTTTCTACTGCACCTTCATGGTGTAACACACTCCTAAGAAGTAAGGCATTGTCCTCCTGATGGCTTTTTCTTTTTTCCATGTTTATATCAGGAGATGTACACAAGCCTTCAATATTAGGCATCAAAAAACAGAAATAGTAATAACTATTTGAGGCTATACCATCCTGAATGTGCCTGATCTTGTCTGATCTTAAAAGCTAAGCAGGGTTGGGTCTGGTTAGGACTTTGATGGGAGAGGTAACAGTAGCTAACACCTAAGAACACACCATGCAAAGCACAATTCTAAGTGCTCGTCCTCAGAACAGCTGTTAAGTAAGTGGAAACATAGAGAACATAGGCTTAGGTTTCCTGTCTAAGGGGCCAGGGCCAGGACTTTAACCCCAGGGAGTCTGGATAGTGCTCATAGCACTAAGCTTTTTTTCCTCTCTTAATTCTTCTTTGGGTGAGTTTTGAATGCTAGTGTACTCCAGGTTATAGCATTCTTTTGCACTTGATCCTGTAGCAGTTAGGCTGGCACAGGAGGCTCTGTGGTACATCCTGCCATGGGGCTTTTCTCTGGGACATGTTGCAGGTTGAAAGCACATCAAAGGCTTCACACAGGGAAAACGTTTAACTGTGAATCTCAAGGCTGCAGCAAATACTTCACCACACTCAGTGATCTACGGAAGCACATTAGAACCCATACAGGAGAAAAGCCATTTCGGTAAGTCTTACTGTTTTCTGTTTGTCACTGACAAGATTTCAGCTGGGTGTCTTGATTAATATGCTGTAGGAAATAATATCCTATTAATACACTGTAGGAAATAATATCCTTCTCTAGTGGTGTTAGCAGGATAGCTGCAGTCAGCTGCTGCAGAGTGGAGGAGTGCAGATGGATTCAAGAGCATCATACTCTGTGGATGATGGCCTTTCTACCACATTTTTTCCCTGTACTTTAAGAAATTATTTGTTGAAACTGACTCATGTAGTAGTTACTTTTATTAGTGAGAGGAAATGCTAAGAACTTAGTCAAGGGCTTGGGATGTAGTTGCTAAGTAGATAAAGTATTTGCTTAGCATGCATGAAGCCCTGGATTTGATCGTCACCCTGGCCTGGTGGTGCACACTTGTAATACCAACAACCAGGAGGCTGAGGCAGGAGGACTACCATGCGTTTTAAGACAGCCTGGGCTACAGAGTAAGACCCCGTCTCAAAATCCCCTCTCCCTAAAAACTGCAGCAATGGGGTAAAAGCACCCTTAGGTCAATGGAAAAGAACCACAAACTTGTAGAAGACAGTGTCTGAGGTGTATAGGTAGATAGAGTGCCTTGAGTATGGAGAAGCGAAGCTCCAGAAGAACTGGGAATGACTTCTAAGTTGCTTTGAAGCATGCTCATGAGGGAAAGTGAGCAGTGGGGACACTTAGGTTAGTGCTCCACATGCTGTATTTTGTTACTTATTTGGCTGTTGCTTTCTAAATCTCACATGTATGTACCCAGATCTATAGGAACACATGCTTTTCATGTATGTGTGTCAACATGCATTTTAAATAGATTAATTAGTGTGAGGGGGGGACTTGTATTGGCTACTTTTTTCTCTGCTTATAGCATGTGGCATGGTTCCAGGCATTCGGTAAGTATTCAGAAACAGCCTTGGGATGATTATATGACATTTATAAGGATTCCAGTAAATGTATTATAAATGTATTGCTGAAGCTTACCCATAAACAATATCTTTGAATTCTGGCAAGAGGTATTATAGTTAGAGCATTAACTATGCAACCATCCATTCTCAATCACTTACCTCCTCATTAGTACACTTAGAAGCACTTTAAAAGTCCTCAGGGGCAGTTAGCTCTTAGACACCAATTAAATGGAATTGAGTTTTTAAATTACAGATCAGATGTGTTCCTTAGTCTTGGCCCCTGTAAGGACAGGAGTGGTTAGGTTCTAGTTGGTATTCTGTAGGTGTTTAACACCCATCTCCCCATAGGCTGCTAAGGGGACACTGATTTCTATCTAGATACCTGCATTTATTGTTGTAATGATTAAAATGATTTTGTCTTGCTAATTAGATGGGACTTTAGATATGTTGGTGATTTTGTATATATGTAAAAAAGAAGCTTTCACCAGGCATGGTGGCGTTCGCCTTTAATCCCAGCTCTTGGGAGGCAGAGACAGGTGGATCTCTGTGAGTTCAAGGCCAGCCTGGTTTACATAGCTAGTTCCAGGTCAACTCAGGCTACACGGAGACCCTGTCTCAAAAAGACTAAAAAATAAAATAAAAAAAGCTTTCTATTTAAAGAAATCAGATATTTTGATTTATAAGAAAACCTATTTGGTCATATATGTCAGTATCAAATGTACAAGAACTAAAGCATGTATGAGGGACTACATGGACTCTACCGCTGAGCAGGTAGATAAAAAATATGCACACAGAGATGAAGCAAAATTGGAAATGAGAGATGTCCTAAAAGAAACATGTGTTAAATGCCTAAGTATTTCTGGGGAAGCAAAGATTACTAATTAACTTTTGGTTATCAAGAAAGTATGGGGGTGCTTGGAGAGGTGGTTCAGTAGTTAAGAGCACTGGCTGCCCTTGATGAGGACTTGGTCTCAGTTTCCAGCACCCGTCCACATGGCAGCTAACAACCATCTGTAACTCTAGTTCCAGGGAATCCAACACTCTTCTCTGGTCCTTGTGGACATTGCATGCACATGGTGTACATATGTACATGCAGGCAAACACTTATACACATAAAATAAAAATAAATGAATCTTTAAAAAAAAAACCAGATTATAAAAAGAAAAGTATTGGGGGGGTGCTGAGTTTGAGCCTTAGCGCTACAAAAGTCAGACGTAGCGGTACACACCTGTAATCTCAGCACTTCAGAGGTGGAGGCAGGAGGACATTCCTCTACTACATAGTGATTTGAAGCTTGCAGAGGGGGTTTAAGCACTGAGGGTTACAGCTGCTACTTCACTGTTGTAGCTGCTCCAGTGGTTTGTGTTTGGTTTGTGTTTTCATGTCACATTTTGAGCTCCACGCATATCACTTTTTTTGAGAGAATGTTACCTTTGTAGCCAGGCCAGCCATGAACATGTGATCCTCCTACCTCAGCCTCCTGAGTGCTGGGATTATAGGTGTTGTGTCCAGAAGCCCAGCTCTCTTTACCCATTCTTTATGCGTTACTAGTTCACTGCTGTAGGTTTTCTACACGGACTCCCACTGTCAGAGTTCTGTGCTGTAATTAGGAAGTTTTTATTGTCAGTTTTTATTGTTGGGAGCTCTCAACACTTGCCTTACCTACAGGACAAGAAGTATGTATCTTGAAGTCTCAGTTCCTGCTGATCCCAGATATGCCACCTTTCTTTTTTTTTCCTTTGTTACATTTATTTACTACTGTGTGGAGGTCAGAGGACAACTTGCAGGAGTCAGTTCTCTTCATTATGTGGCTTCCAAGGATAGAAACCAGGACATCAAGCTTAGTGGCAGGTGCCTTTACCCACTTAACCATTTTGCTGCTTTTTTTTCAAGGTCTTCTCATTCCCATCTCAAATCTGGAACCAGTATTGCTGGTTTGATTTTAGTGTTCTGAACGTTTGTTGTGGTTTGTGTATATGAGATGTTGAGGATAAGGTCTCTTAGCTAATGACGCCTGTTTGTCTTTGCTTAAACAACATGTTTAGATGTGATCATGATGGCTGTGGGAAAGCATTTGCAGCAAGCCACCACCTTAAAACTCACGTCCGTACACATACTGGTAAGTTTAGGCTAATTTCTGTTTTTCATTTTGCATTCGACCAGGCCTACTGTATGGGTTCCCCTGATACCTGTAGAACAAGTGAGGGGAGCTTTGCCCAGTTGGCTCAGCCTTCACCTGTCAGGTGTGCATTTCTTTCAGAGGTGAAGGTTCTAAGGATTGAGTTAAGAATTCAAACTTAGGACATGAAACCAGTATAGAGACACTCTAAAGAGCCGTGAGAATTTCCAGGAGTGGTCTTCCAGTACTTTGCTCTGCTTTAGGTTTTAAGACTGAGAAAATCAATGCATAGCTGTTACTCAAGTCTTCCTAAGAACATCCACTTCCTGTGCTAGAGAAAGGAGGATTTCTTAGTGCAGTCAAGTGAGATTTAATGCTGCTTTGTCATTCTTGCAGGTGAGAGACCCTTCTTCTGTCCCAGTAATGGCTGTGAGAAAACTTTCAGCACTCAGTACAGTCTTAAAAGTCACATGAAAGGCCACGATAACAAAGGAAACGCACTCAGTGCACTTCCACAACACAACGGATCAGAGGTACGCAGTGTTCTCATTTCTTGTTTTGATCTGGGCACCACAGGATGGCAGTTGTTTTGTGTCTCACTGAAAGGTTAAAACGTCTTCTCTGTATATCTGTTAACTAGAGGGAAGAAATCAGGGTTCAGATCCATGTCTTTGCTATGGGATGATGGAAGCCAAAAATTTCACTAGCCTCTCTGTGTGTTAGCTTCTGCTCACCCCTGCTGTGTGCTGGCAGGTATGGGGGAAGAAGGTACTCTAGACCTACTTTCCAAGGGTCAGCCAGATTTTTCTTTTTTTCTTGTGTGTGTGTGTGTGTGTGTGTGTGTGTGTGTGTGTGTAAATGCTTGAGATCAGACGACAGCCTTGAGTGTTGTTCCTCATGTGCTTTTCTTGTTATTGTTGCAACAGGATCTCATATTGGCCTGGAACATGCCAAGTAGGCTAGGTTGGCTGGCCAGGGAGCCTTACCTATCCACTGTCTGCCTTTTCAGTGCATGGATTACAATTGTGTACCACAGCTACCCCCTCATTTTTTTTTTCCGTTTTAATTTTGAAACATAGTCTCACTATGTAGCCCTGCCTGACCTACAACACACTCTATAGACCTTGAACTATGACCTTCACCTATCCATTAACATCAGAGAGCCAAGCATAGTCTGGAGGGGTCCCTTGCTCCTTTAATTTGTCTGTAAAGCAAAAGTGTTGAGGGCCCCTGGCTTAAGACACTGAGCCATGGAATAGACCTGTGGGTTTTTTTGTTTGTTTGTTTTAAATATTTTATTTATTATTTTTACTTTATGTGTATGAGTGTATTGCCTGCATGTATGTGAGTGCACCCATGTCGTGCAGTGCCGCAGAGGTCAGAAGAGAGCTTCAGATTCCCTTGGAACTGGAGTTAAGGACGGTTCGTAGCCACCATGTGGGTGCTGGGAATCGAACCCAGGTCCTCTGCAAGAGCAGTCAGTGCTCTTAACCGCTGAGTCATCTCTCCAGCCCCCAGACCTGTGTTTTTAAAGTCTTTTTTTAAAAATATTTTATTTATTTTTATTGTATGTGTATTGCCTGCATGTATGTGAGTGCACCCATGTCGTGCAGTGCCGCAGAGGTCAGAAGAGAGCTTCAGATTCCCTTGGAACTGGAGTTAAGGACAGTTCGTAGCCACCATGTCAGTGCTGGGAATTGAACCTGGGTCCTCTGCAAGAGCAGTCAGTGCTCTTAACCACTTAGCCATCTCTCCAGCCCTCAGACCTGTGTTTTTAGACTGACTGACTTTCACTCCTTTTTTTCTCTCTCTCCTTTCTCTCTCTCTTTTTTGGTCTTTCTGAGACAGGGTCTCCCTGTAGCCCCACCCGGCCTGATTTCACTACGGAGACCAGGCTGGCCTTGAACTCAGAGATATGCCTGCCTCTGCCTCCCAAGTGCTTCCTTTCTTCCTTCCTTCTTTTCTTATTTCTTTCTTTGTTCTTTTAAATATTTATTTTTATGTGTATAAGTGTTTTGCCTATATACAGATATGTACACCACATGCATGTTTGATGCCCTCAGAGGCCAGAAGAGGACAGGGGATCCTCTGTAGCTGGAGCTATAGCCGGTTATGAATGGCCATGTGGTGCTGGGAACCAAATGCAGGTCCCCTGCAAGAGCAAAAGAGCAGCCAGTGTCTTCAACTGCTGAGCCATCATCTCTATAGCCCCTTGTTTGCTGTTTTTTTGTTTTGTTTTGTTTTGTTTTTTGTCTTTTTGAGACAGGGTCTCCCTGTAGCCCCAGCTGTCCTGGAATTCACTATGTAGACCAGGCTGGCCTTGAACTCACAGAGATCCGCCTGCCTCTGCCTCCCAAGTGCTGGGACTACCATGCCCAGCTTGTTAGCTGTTTTTACAGTGACTTTAGGCAAATGACTTCTAGGCACCTCCATTTCTTCATCTGATGAAACCACGTAAAAACTTTAAACTTAAGAGGCTCTCTCCACTCATTAGGTCAAATTAGTTTTTATTTTTGTAGCAGTACATGGAAAATTGAACTGTGAACAGCTGCTCAGCCCTGGCGTGCACCAGTGCTGTCTTCAGAGCTCTTCTCTGCATCCCTCGTTGTCCAGCAGAGGGATGACTTCTGGTCTCAGGCTTCACAGGCCATCTGTAGTACATTGAGTCCTACACTGGTAGTCCAGCCTAGATCTCTCCCTGAACTCTAGACTTGGATGTCCACTGATATCCTCCCCCAGATAATCGCTTTTCTAAAACTTAGCATGTCTAAACCTGTTCTTCCTGCAGCCTTCCCATCTTAGCAAGTGGCAGCTAGGTTTTTCTAGTCAAGGAGATCAAAGTCTTACAATTAGTGACTCTTTGCTTTTTCCCTCATACTTCATAGCCACCAGCAAAGTCTGTCAGCTCTACCTGGAGAATATATCTAGGATCTAGCCAGGTGTGATGACTTTGCCTTTAATCCCAGCACTTGGAACTGGAAACAGAAGGATTATGACTCCAAAGCCAGCCTGGTCTACATGAGACCCTATTTTAAAAAATCAAAAACAAACAAAAACTTAAACTGACTAGAATCTGATCATTTTTCTATTCACTTTGTTGTGTACTTATAGTGTGTACTTGAATTATTGATATTACCTGCTTAGTACCTTCTCCTCTATGCAGACATCTACAGACTGTTCTATGTATATCAGCCAGAGACACCTTTCTCTCTAAACCATAATGCAGATAAAATTTGCATTATGATCTGCTCATAACCATTCAGGAGCTCCTTATATTATTTAGATTAAAGGTCACAATCCTGTCAGTAATCAATAAGGCCCTGTACTCTCTGGTCAGTTATCGATACCACTTCTTGTCCTCTTTTGCTATGCTGTCATCTCTGTGGTGAACTGAGAGAAGCCCACTCCTACCTCCAGGTGTTTGTACTTGCTGTGTGCTCTGCTGGGACATGCATGACCTGTGTGTACTTTGTTTCTGCTCAAACACCTTTTATCTGAAAGGCTAAACCATCTAATAGAAGCATAACTCCTGGGCTGGTGAGATGGGTCAGTGGGTAAAGGAGGTACCCAGAACCCACATGGTGGAAGGATTCCTGCAAGTTGTCCTCTGACCTCTACATGTGCACTGAGGTATACTTATATACAAGTGTGCTCAAATAAATAAGATAATTAATAAATAAAATAGTAACTCCTACTGTAGCACTATTCATTCCTTTTACCCTGCATAGCACTTATCATCATCTTGCATACTGTATGCATTTTTTTTTTTTAGTCTTCATTAGAATATAAGCCCAATAAGTACAGAGACTGTTTGCTTATTACTATATCCCTAGGCCTGGAACAGTAACAGACATAGTAGATGTCAGTCACTATAATACACTTCTATCCTTGGCATATGTTCAGGCTCTTCTGTGGATGCTAAAACCTGGATAGTACCTAATCTTATATGTACTCACCTATGATAACACCTACTTAATAAATTAGGCACAGAAAGAGATTGGTAAGAATAAAAAATAAGGAAGTAGAGCACTTATAACAACATACTTGAATAAAACCGGGAACATCGTTGCTCTTGTGCTTTGGGGCCATTAAGAAAACTAAGGGTTGGGACTGGAGAGATGTCTCAGCGGTTAAGAGCACTGACTGCTCTTGCAGAGGACCTGGGTTCCATTCCCAGCACCCACATGGCGGCTACAAACCATCCTTAACTCCATCCTTAAATCCGAAGCCCTCTTCTGACTTCTGCAGCATTGCACAACATGGGTGCACTCACATACATGCAGGCAGTACACTCGTACACATAAAATAAAAATAAATAAAATATATAAAAAAAAAATAAGGGTTACTTGAACCAAGCTCAGGAACACCATGACAGGCGATCCAGTTACCTAGACATCTACAAACTAAGTGACTGGTATGTGGGTAGGGTCTATATTGCCTCCAGAAAGGGAGATGGAATGGGATGGTCCAAGATTTCATCCCACTCCTCAATGATACACAATTTAAAGCTTAAGAATTGCTTATTTCTGGGTTGTATATGACCTGGGTTTGATTCCCAGCACCCACAATGACTAACATGGTAACTCCGGTTCCAGGGGATCCAGTGCCCTCTTCTGGCCTCCTTGAGCACTGCAGGCTTGGGGGCACTTACATGCAGGCAAAATGTTCATACACATAAAATAAAAATAAATAAATAAAAATTTTTAAATGACGTGGTTGGGCTGGGGAAATGGCTCAGCAGTTAAGAACAATGACTGCTCTTGCAGAGGAAGGTTTTGTTCCCAGTACCCACACAGTGGCTAACAACCGTCTTTAACTCTAGTTCTGGGGGAATTGATGCCCTCTTCTGGCTTCTTTGAGCATTGCCTGACATGGGGGCACTTTGTTGTGCATGCAGGCACAACATTCATATACATAAAATAGAAACAAATACAAATTTCAAAATGAAATGATCTACTTTGCCCCTGCTTTGGATGTTTTATGCCTCTGTAAGTCACATTTGCAGACATTTGGAGGCTTAAGGACTTGGTAATAAAATGTTTTATTATGTAATGTGCTACTATAAATCTTGATTTTGTTCCTGTTGTGGTTGCTCAATTAGAATTGTTTCTCTCTTACAGGATACAAATCACTCACTTTATCTGAGTGAGCTTGGCCTTCTGTCCACGGACTCTGAATTGCAAGAAAATTCCAATACAGTAAGTGTACCTGAGATGTGGGTGCTAGAAAAATAGATTCAGGATAGAGCTTTCCTTTCTTGGGAAAATGAAGGCAGGTCAGTCTGAAGTTTTCTAGATTCAACTGTGTTCTGTAACTGATCCTTAGGATTCTATTTTTCTTCTGCTGGCAAGATTTCCTTTAAGAGAGGTCCTTCTCTTTGTTGTCCAGTCTTTTGGCCTGGATCATTCAGTTGGTAGACTTTTGGCTCCAGAATGTTTCTTTCATCCTTTAAAAAAAAAAAAAAAAAAAAAATTAGGCAAATATTCATTGAATACTCCTTCAGCAGGCACTGTGGCAGTGCCAGGCTTACCATGGCAACCAAGAAGGCATGATGTGGCCTCAAGGAACTTCAAGTCTGGTAAGATGGGCCAGAATTCCAGTCCTCAGCCCTGCCCGTCTCACCTGATTTAGGCTGTTTCCTTCTTCAAGCTTACCTTACTGGGTTTTTGAAGGGAGCATCCTGTGCAGACCTCCACTAAAAGACAAGCCTACTCCACATTGATTATAATGATAGGGAGTTCTCTTGTTCCTGTGACTCCATGACATGCTTAGAGACCCTGCAGAGTCTTAGCCTATGCAAACTTCATGAAGTCCAAATGTTTTTCTGTGTTGCGACCATTAATTTCAAAGTTAGCTCAGGCTAGATTTTCTGTCACTATTCATAATAAATAAATGTGATTGAAAGTGTTGAATGTGGGGCTAGAGAGATGGCTCAGAGGTTAAGAACACTGACTGCTCTTGCAGAGGACCCGGGTTCAATTCCCAGCACCCACATGATGGCTATGAACTGTCCTTAACTCCAGTTCCAGGGGAATTGAAGCCCTCTTCTGACCTCTGTGGCATTGCACAACACAGGTGCACTCACATACATGCAGGCAGTACGCTCATACACATAAAATAAATAAAATTTTTTTTTAAAAGAATGTGTTGAATATGCTGAGTGTGGTAGTTCATGTCTTTAAAAGTTCAAGTTCAGCCAGGTCTACATAGTGAGTTCCAGGACAGCTGGGCCTACAGGGAGACCCTGTCTCAAAAAGACCAAAAAAAGAAAAAAAAAAAAAAGTGTTGTATACAAGGCTGGAGAGATGGCTCAGCAGTTAAGAGAACAATTCCCAGCACCTACATGGGGGCTAACAACCATCTGTAACTCCAGTTCCAGGAGAATCCAATGCTGTCTTCTGACCTCTAGGGCCATTGCATGACAGAGGTGCACTTATATACATGAAGGCGATACAGTCATATGCATAAAATGAATTTTTTCTTTAAATTTAAAAAGTTAAAAAAAAGTGTTGAATGGGCTGGGTGTGGTGGTACACGCCTGTAGTCCCAGCACTTGGGAGACAGAGGCAAGCAGATCTCTGTGAGTTTAAGGCCTGCCTGGTCTACGTAGTGAGTTCCAGGCCAGCAGGGGCTGCAGGGAGACCCGTCTCAAAAAAAGACACCACCCCCCCCCCCAAAAAAAAGTATTGAATGATTTAGGAATGTTGTGGTAAAATGTTTCCTTTTTTTTTGTTTGTTTGTTTGTTTGTGTTTTTGAGATAGAGTCTCACTCTGTGGTGGGTTTACAAGGGTGAGCTGCCATACGCAACTAAAAATGTGGTTTCTAGAGTCAGCTTAGCTGTTATGAAAATATGAGTTTCTTATCTGGGTACAGTGATGCATACCTATAATTCCAGCTGATTGGTAAGCTAAGGCAGAAGGATCACTGGAGCCTACAAGTTTGAGACCATTCTGAGTAACATAGTAAAACTGTTTTCAAAACCAGAAGAAAATAAGTAAAAGCGTAGGCTCCTGGGCCTTGCCCTAAGACCACTGAGTCAGCATATCTGAGAGTGCTGTCACAAGGTGTATTTTAATGTTGGCACCCCACTGCCTTGTTTGTCCTGGTAATGGCAGGGTTGCTCTTATTAGACCAACCCTTGCACAGAAAGTAACTGTAAATATTGAACAAAATATTAAAAAAAAAAAATGCATATGAAGGCATTGATCAACCAACAGCAGGGTTGGCAAGGTGGCTCAGTTGGTAAAGGCACTTGTTTCTGAGTCTGGCAACCCAAATTCAACCCTTAGGACCCAGATGGTGGAAGAACTGACTGCCATAAAGTATCATCTGACCTCCACATGTGTGCTGTGGCACTGGCAGGGACACACACACACTAGCCAAAAGCAAGCAGCAAGCAAACGTAACCTTGGAAGAAGCCGTGCTTAGAAGATGCTGAAGGCTCTTGGTAGACTTGCAGGCTTTGTGGCTTACCTCAGGCAAACCCTAGTTGTCACTAGACAAGATGCCCACCAGAGGGTAGAGTTCAGGGTGATTATGGTACCTGGAAAATGAGTGGGGGTGGCCCAGCAAGGAAATACCAAAGAAGATTTCAGCTGCCATCCATCCACAACAAGGGGAATACAGATTTATTAATAATACTCTTCCAAGAAGTGTAACAGAGAGAGACTCTACAAGACATTACCACAGCCATCCTAAATTAGTGAACATGTAGGAATTGGTGTTGCATGACTGTCACTCCAGTACTTGGGAGGCAGAGGCAGGAGGTTAAGGTCATCCTCTTCTACATAGTGGATTTGAGGCGAGCCTGGGCTATATGAGACTGTAAAGAGAGAAGTGGGGAAGGAAGGAAATAGCAAAACATGAGCTCCTTCAAGAGAAAAAATGACCTATAGAGATTGACACTAAAATGGTCCAGTAAGATGTTAAAATTAACAAATTTCTTTGTCATCTTCCCCTCCTGTTTTTTGTTTTGTTTTGTTTTTAATTTTATGTGTATGAGTATACTGATGGCATGTGTATAAGTGCACCTATGTTGTGCAGTGCCCACAGAGGTCAGAAGAGGGCGTCAAAATCCCCTGGAACTGGAGTTATGGACAGTTGTTAGACAGTGTGGGTGCTGGGAATTGAACCCGGGTCCTCTGCAAGAGCAGTCAGTGCTCTTAACCACTGAGCCATTTCTCTAAGTGGCCCGAATTCTCTCTGGGTCTCCTGTGCGATCAGACAAACCATATAATATATTTTATGTGAGTTTATTAACTTACAAAGAAATGAGGACCCAGTGCCTAGCCCCGAGCCTGCCTTATCAGACCGTGTCACACCCATAGCCCTCCCCCATGCCTCCTAGCTCACACCTCCTTGCCTCCGGGACCAGTGATCTCACCCCAGGTCCACAGGGAGTCAGTCCATTCTGTCTTTGAGTTGCTGTGCTGGCTGTGTTTCCTACACCATCACACTCTACCAGCACTCCTGGCTTCCATCCCAAGATGGCTCTTGGCTTCCCTTCCTAGTTCCCACTCCATGTCAGGCCCCGCGCATTGGAGGAACCAGCCAATCGGGAGACACTCTAGCCCCATTCCTCCTGTTTTTTTGTGTTTTGAAGTCATGGAGATTTTAACCTAGGACCAGTCATGCTAGGCAACTGCACTACTACTGAGCTACATCCCCAGCCAAGATAGAAAAGTTTAATATATCACATTTATTCAAGGATGTAAATGAATATGTCTGTGCAAATAGGAACTCTCATCAGAGAAATTGAAACCATAGAAAAAATGAAACCAGGCATGGTGGTGCATGCCTATAATTCCAGTACTTTGGAGGATGGGTCAGGAGGACTACCAGTAGTTTGAGGAATAGTACCAAGCCAGGCTTTGATACACATGATACACTTGGTACACATGGCCACTAACAACTGTCAGTAACTCCAGTTCCAGGGGAATCCGAAGCCCTCTTCTGACCTCCGAGGCATTGTACAATACGGGTGCACTCACATACATGCAGGCAATACACTCATACACATAAAATAATTTAGAAAAAAAAAATAACCCAAAACCGAAAACAGTAAAGGAAAAAAAAGCCTGCAAAAATGTCGAAAGTATTTAGGGAGTATGTATCTAATCCTTAAAAGATTTTAGGAATACTTCTTCAGAGGGGGGAATGTTGGAGTAGCCAAAAGTCCCATAAAAATAAATAATAAATCAAGAAGAAGAAAGAGTACATGAAGTTGTCAGAAAAAAAGCGATAGGGAGATATGGGAGGAGTTGGAGGGGAGGGAGTGGGCATGGATTTGATCTAAACACCTTATATACATGTATGAAATTCTCAATAAATTACTTATGTAAATTTAAAAAAGGCTTGTATATATTAATTATATGGAATAGTGAAAAAAGGGCACAAAACAATCATAAAATATTCCATTCATATAAATGTACGTGTATACATACATAGAAAAGACTGAAAGAACATACAAAGGAAAGAAAGGAGGGAGGAAAGAAGGGAAGAAAGGAGGGAGGGAGGAAGGGAGGGAGGGAGGGAGCTGAAGCCACTGCTAGGTTTCAGCACAAACCCCTGGCTGCAGAGTGGGAATGGCTTTCCACAGTAGAGGTGACAGGACAGCCTCTGGGTCCTGGAGCAAAGAGTAAAGAGCAGGAAGAGGAGTGGGAGCTGCCCAGGTCCAGGAAGATCTTGGGGCTCAGCAACCAAAGGACCCAGCAACCATTGCCTAGCAGATTCAGCCCTCCTTTCTGAAAAGATCAGAGCAAGCGAAAGGTCCTGTCTAGGACACACATACACATGTGGTAATTCAGACATCTGTAAAAGTCTTATACAAATTTGCCATTTGATTTTATCAAGTCCCAATATTTTAGAAAATGGCAAATTAATCCTTTTGCTTTAAGGAACCATGGTTTTAGTTTGAAAGACTGAAACTAAACGCTTTCCAAATCTGTGCTAAACACTGGGTCCCTGGGGCATAACATACAGTTACTCACTTGACAATGAGAACTGTGGTAGAAATGACTTCACTTTTCACAAGCTCTTAAGGTTCCCATTTTCTAGTGACCTCAGGGCTCCAGAAAGCTCCCAAGTTACATATTGTAGTCCTAGCCAGCATGGACTCTTAAAGCTCTGCAGTACAGTTAAATGTTGGACCTCAAGGTGGCTCTGTGGATAAAGGCACTTGCTTTTACAAGCCTGATG